TGTGTTCTATGGAATATTAGCATATTTTTTAACCTGTCAGAACTAATGAATATTCTGTGGTAACCACATATTTAAGGAAAGAAATAAAACACCCTGTTGTACTTCTATGCAAAAGTTAAAATCACACCAGTCTCTCTCTCTCTCTCTCTCTCTCTCTCTCTCTCTCAAATAACTGTTGACCTCTTCCTTATGTTTCTCAGAAGATGTCAAGCAATTTAAAGAAACATGAAGTGTCAAAGTTTTGTACGGAGAACTTGCAAAACTTAGACTGTAACTAGGATTGAATTTTTTTTTAATTTGAATTAATCTTGCTACATAAGCCCAACCAGAGACTTAACTATATACTTTCAAAAGAGTTGCAATATTTTAAACATGTGGTAGTTATATGGAATTTATGAGAGGAGCATTAAAAGTTATAATTGGGCAAGGGTGATTAACCAGCGATTTAAATCATCGTTTAAAATCAGTAAGCAAGAAAACTTGATTTAAGTAAGGTTGATTCTAATTGCCTGGTATCATTTGTATTTCTTGCTACCTGGAGAATGTGCATACATAGAGTCATAGAGAAGTAGGGCTGGAAGGAACTCTAGTCCAACCCCCTGCCTGAGGCCGGATTATCCTTATGCAAACAAGTCTGCACACCATCATCTCAACTCTGCTTGGGACTACCATCAACTCTGACACAACATAGACCTAACAACCTAACCTGCCACAGGGAAAGCAGGGGAACCATGACAGCCAGTGTCCTGCTTCTATAAAACATCATCAGTATATGCTCCAGAGATCCCAGGTAGAGGGCCACTCCCTCCACTACAGAAAAAGGCAAAAACCCCACAGTTCATACCAATCTGACCATGGGGTAAAATTCCTTCCTGACCCCAAATATGGTGATTGGTCTGACCCTTAGCAGAGGTGCAAAGACACTCTAGTTAGGAAACTTCAGCTTTGCTCCCAGCAGGAGCATTGGCACACCCCAGTTGAAATCCCCAGACCTGGCTGTAGCCAACACTCAGTGCCTCTTGAAAACACCCTGACACACACAGCGGGCAAAAAAGGAGGGGAGCAATTAGCAAAGCCCAGAAGCATGAGAAATACCCATGGCAGAACATAGGCATAACTACATCTAAATCAGGGGCGGGCAATTATTTTGGGCGGAGGGCCGCTTACCAAGTTTTGGGAAGCCATCGAGGGCCACATGACAGGCAGCCAGGGGCAGATAAAAATTTAGAAAATTAATATTTATAGGGGCCCTGCAGGCCAGATAGAATGGCCTGGCAGGCTGCATTCAGCCCGCAGGTCGCATTTTGCCCACCCCTGGTCTAAATCATCCCTGACCAGTTGCTGTCCAACCTCTTCTTGAACACCTCCAGCGATGGATAGTCCACAACTTCCCTAGGCAGTCTATTCCACTGCCTTAGTATTCTAACTGTGAAGAAGTTTTTCTGGATATGCAATCCAAATGTACTTTGCTGCAGCTTTAAGCCACTGGTCCGCATCCTCCTCTCTGCGGCAAGAGGGAAAAGGTGCTTTCTCTCTTCTTTATGGCAGCCCTTCAAGTATCTGAAGACTGCTATTATATCCTCTCTTAAGCACCTTTTCCACAAGCTGAACATGCCACCATCGTCATGAAGGGCTCTAGAGGTGATCCTGAAAACTACAGACCATTGAGAATCACTTCCATCCCTGGCAAGTTGGTAGAATCTATAATAAAGAATAAAATCAGCAGTCACGTGGACAGATATGATATAATGGGGGGAAATTATCATTGTTTGTGTAAAGATAAATTCTGCCTCACCAATCTGCTGGACTTTTTTGAGGGCATTAACAAGCACATGGACAAGGGGGACCGAGTTGACATTATATTTGGTCTTTCAAAAAGCTTTCAAGAGAATCCCTCAGCAAAGACTTAAAAAAACCCAACTGTTGCCGCATAATTTTGAGGGGAGGTTCTTTCATGTATTGAGAGTTGGCTTTAAGAGTAGGGCTAAATGGTCACTTTTCAAGATGGAGGGATATCAAAAGTGGGGTCCCACAGGGATCTATGCTAAACCCAGTTTTGTTCAGAATTTTCAGCAATGACCTGGAAGTGGGGTACACAGTGAAATCTCTGTTTCTGGATGATATCAAATTATTCCAGATACGCAAATCCTGAGCTGACAGGGAAGGGCTGCAGAAAGATCTCACCAAGCTGAGTGAGTGGGCAAAAAATAGCAAAAGAACTTCATTATCAACAAGTGCAAGGTCATGCACATTGGGAAAATAACCTCAGCTATATGCACACAGTGTTGGATACTGAACTAGCTGTTGCAGTTTAGAAAAGAGACATTGAAGTCATTGGAGAAAGTTCTCTGAAAACATCAATTCAATGTGCAGCGGCAGCCAAAAAAACCCAATAAAATGTTGAGCATCATTAAGAAGGGAATTGAAAACAAAATGGAGAATATCATCATTAGGTGTGTGTGTAATGGGCTCTTTCAATTCAAATTGGGATTCGGTCCGAATTGGGAACAGTGATTCGATTAATTGATTTGGATCACTGTCCCCGAGTTGATTCGTCCGAATCCAAATCTGAAGATTCAATGCTGCTTTGGAGAATCAGCGATTCAGACATAGACACAGCTTTAAATTTTTTTTCTACATACCTTGAGGTACCAGGCATGGCTCGTGATCGCTGCAGTGCTGGAGCGGATGGAGTGTCCCACAGGAGTGCGGGGAGGCCCCCCACATGCTTGATGGCAAACCCCAAAGTGGACTGGCTGTACTTCCAGTCCACTTCCGGGTCCACCAAGGAGTGTACAGGGGGGCCCCTCTGGCTTGGCAATCGGCCGTGGGGGGACCCCGGGTGCCCCCCAGGCCCAGGAGGTACCAGTCACCGAGCTGGGCAGGATGGGGGGCCTGCACGCTCTCCAGTGGACCTGGAAGTAGACCAGAAGTGCTTTTGGTCCACTTTTGGGTCTGCTGCCGAGCACACTGGGGAGCCCCCCATGCTTCTGTGGGACACTCCATACACCCTAGCGTCGCAGCATTCATGAGCTGCGTGGTACCTCAAAATATGTAGAAAAAACATTTAAAGCTGTGCCTATGTCCAAATTGCTGAATCTCTCTGAATCGATTCGGAGGGTTCCAATTCGATTTGGAGAGATTCAAGGGTCCTTTGATTCAATTCGGATTTGGAGATTCAGCCACTGAATCGGGCCAAATTCTCCACCGAATCAAATCGAGGACCAAAGCTTCACACAGCCCTAATTATCATGCCATTATAAAAATCCATGGTGTACCTACATCTTAAATACTGTGTGCAGTTCTGGTCTCTGCATCTTAAAAAGATATGGTAGAATTAGATAAGGTACAGAGAAGGGCAGCCAATACGATCAGAGGTATGGAGTAGTTACCATACCAGAAGAAATTAAAAAGGCTAGGATACTTTTAGTTTGAAAAGGAAAAGGTATAGGGGGTATAGAGGGGGGAATAGGTGTCTATAAAATCTTGAAGGGTGTGAACAAAGTGAACAGGGAACTGTTATTCACCAAGTCCCAGGATACCAAAATTACAGGGCACCAGTGAAATTAACAGGAGACAGGTTTAAAACTAACAAGAGAGCACTTTTTTACACCATGTGTAGCTAAGTTGTAGAATATGATGCCACAGGAGGTGGTAGAAGCAGATGGCATAGCCAGGTTAAAAAAGGGGACTCAATAAATTAATGGTTGATAGACCTATAAATAGCTGTTGAACAGAATGGTTGGTGATGTTTCTTCTGGCATCTCTATGAACAATATGGTAGGTGCCAGAGAGGGTAATGAATATGGGATAGATCACTCTAGATGTATCTGATTCAGTGCAGTCCCACTAAGGAGACAGGATACTGGGCTAGATGAACCCATTGGTCTGGCCCAATCTGACACATCTTATATTCTTCTGTTCTTATGTTTCTTATGTTCATTGTACACCTGAATAAGTACAAATATGGAGAAACATTAAATGTGTATCAACTGCCTTAAGTGTTTAATGCTCTAATTTTTAGCATGTCAGTTTTCAAAACTTCTGGTAGGCTTTTTATATATTTACGCATCATTTTGTGAAATACATTGCCTTACCTGCTATTGAAATGCAGCCACCAGTGCACTGTAAAACCAAGTCATTTCATACCAGCTATACACACAACTATGTTTTTATGAGAAGGAATGAAAAAGTGTATTGTAGGTATTATTTAAACTTCAAAGGGAATTTGTTATGCAAATTATATTTAAACTAAATAATGATATTTGGAACTTAACCAAGGTGCCAGGATTAACATCACTTAAATTGCTGTGGGCTTACTGTTCACTCTGTGGTCTGGATCTCAATTTTAGTTCTCATATCAAATACTGCTTAATAGCACTGTATTCCTGACACCATGCAAGGGAACTGATTAGACCCAAAAGTGCTGCATTACTGATTAGACTCTTCACACTTTGGGTCTTCTTCTTTTCAGCTGCTGAGTTGACTTTTGGCAGTAGTAGCCTTTTCTGTAGGTGCAGAAAGAATTTTTTTCTTTCTTTTAATTTACTCAACAATTTAGTTACTAATCTATTAGTTTAATTTATGAGCTAAACTAAGATCTATCTATTGTGTGCTGCACACCATAATACTCAATATTGCTATTTCATATGAAACTTCCTTGTTACCAAAAGTCTCTGATCTCTTCCTGTACAACTTCAGCATAGTAGAGAAATGCATGTTTCTTTTCAAATTACTGGTAATGCATACTTATACAACTGAAAGTGAGAACAGGAGATGATGTTTTAGCCACACATTCCCCATCAGAGGTAAAGGAGTGTGCATTGTTAAATCTCTGTGAATCAGTTGAAAATCAACAGAATTATTTTTATTTTGGAACCATTGCTTATAAGAATGGTTAACAATACAATGTGTGTAACTATTAGAGCACTCATTCTTCCACAGAGAGCATATCAAGATTTAATGAAAATCTTCATTATTAAATATTGCTCTCCTTTCAGGTATTAGCAATGCAGAAGCCCGCCAACCAGGAAAAGCACCTAACTTCAGTGTAAACTGGACAGTAGGAGACACAGGTCTGGAAGTTATTAATGCTACAACTGGCAAGGATGAAATAGGCCGTGCATCTCGCCTTTGTAAGCAAGCTTTGTACAGTCGCTGGATGCGTATTCATGCAAAGGTATGTATCCAAAATTAGGGTATTTTAGTCCTATGTTCCCATTTTATTTGGTCACATAACCTACCTTTTAATAAAGGGACCTGTCTTGTGCTGTGCTGCTTCATTTGTTGGGACTATTGTAAATTTTAAAAATTCCCACCTTAGATAAATCTTTTTTCCACTGTGATACCTGGTAGGTTAACAATTCGCTATCTAAAATGGACAGGGAAGTGATGTTTGTCTGCTCTTCTTTAATTTGGTGATTTCTAGTCTTAAGGTATGTGAGAGAGTCATCAGATTCAGTTATAGCTTACTGTAAAGTAAAAAATACACCATTGGGTATTTATGGTAATTGTAGTTTATTGAATAAGCTACTTGCTCTCAGTAGATCTCCTGGAATCTTACACAAAAGATAGTAAGATTACAAAGTAAGAGGGCTAAAATTTGTGAAATCATTTTATAAGAGCAACTTACAACATAAAGCCAGGTCTGGGATTCTTACTGTCAGTCTAAAGAGACTTTCCTGTATGAGCAGATGTGGAGTAAAATCCTGGCTCCTTTGAAGCTATCGCTATAGATTTCAGTGGGGCTAGAATTTGACCAAAATTCTTCCCCCTTCTTTTCCCCCTCTCCCCTAGGAAGTGCAAAGTAAAGTAAAAGACCTGCTTTTTAAAGGGTTAGATTTCTTTGTCAGACATGGGTCAATACTGTAGGACAGTGGTCGTCACCCAGGGGTACGCATACCCCTCAGGGTACTTAAAAAGGGCCTAGCAGGTATACAGACCTAATGTTGCTGATTAAATGGTGCGTGTGTGTGCACAGCTGCAGTGCAGCATGCAGGCGGCCAGGAGAGCAGTCGGGTCCAGCTGGTAAGTGCGTTGTGAGGGAAGGGGCCTGTGGGGAGGGGAAGATCAAGGGCTCAGCGGTGGGGAAGAGTGGGGCTAGGGCAGGGGCGGCCCAGCTGAGGCGCGCCACTGGACTGAGTCGTGTGCACCCTGGGAGGGCATGGGGGCCGTGTGCCTCTGGATCTGCACAGGGCAGGGCAGACTCTCGCTGCGGGCTGGGCCTGGGGCTGTGCCAGGCTCTTCCCAGTTGGGGCTTGGCCAGGCTGCACTCTGGGTGGGTGGCAGCAGCGCTGGGAGGAGGCTATGGGAGGGGCTGCAGCCACTCCAGAATTCACTGTTGCCCCCATAACCTCCCCTCCCAGTACCGCCACCGCCTGCCCCTAGCACAGCCCGGTCCAGCCCCCCACTGAGAACAGCCCTGCAGCCTGCCCCACCCCATGCACAGATCCAGGGGCACACACCCTCCATGCGCTCCCAGGGGTGCATGGAGTGGCGGGAGCCACCCACCCTCCCTGCACCAGCCAGAAAAGCCTCTTGCAGTCTCGATCGAGGCCCTCACGGTGAGGGAGGGAGTGGGCCAGGGGCAGGTGGTGCCCAGTCATGGCAAACCGGAGGACGGACCCATGAGCAGCTCGTCCGGGGGCAGGGGGTGGCAGCTCCCGCTACTGTGCACATTCTGGGAGGGTATGGGGCATGTAAGCCCCGGATCTGCAGGGAGGGCTGCCGCTGCGGGCTGAGGCTGGGGCTGTGCTGGGCTCTTCCCGGAGGGG